CATCCTTTCTTCTTTAATAAACAGACGATGAGACAGAGTTGTTTTTCTGCTATCGAATTATCCAAATAATTGTGTTAATTCTGTATTGATTCTCCATTTTGCTTTGCAAAAGGAAGCACAGCCAGAGACACAGAAAACATCTGTTGTTTAGAGGCTGAATATAATAATGATCTCGTTTCGGCTTAGCAAAGTTTTCTCTCTGCCCGCCTCTGGCGTGAATCCTTGGTTCCCCAGCCTGCTGTTCATCTCCAGAGGATGGGAATAGGTATCTTGAAATAGTCAGTTTTAAGTTGTATTTGCAATATTAAATGATTTCATTATGTGCTCTCGAAATTGTAATTCTACACTCCAAATGGGGCGCTAACGGATTCTGGCTGTTTAAAAAGCATGCTTTATAGTTGGCTGTAGAAAAGAAAATTCAGCCTCCTACTTATAACTCAGAAAATACCCAGTGATGGCATTTCAAGGCTTTCTGAGACCTTATGATGGAAAGGCAAGGAAATGTTCCAGTCACAATGTCTGTTTAATATTAGCATCAACCACGTTTTCTGGTATAATTAGACCAGTGGCGTGTCCCAAGTCATTCATATACCATGTAGAAGAAGCAACGTACGTCCGACGTGGAGAATGCCAATTTTAAAAGGAACAAGGTAACATAAAATACACTAACTGCTAAAATTACATTAGCCCGTTTCTATTTTTTTCGCTTCAGAAGCCGCTCGGGACCTCGCGGTGACCCCCTCACCCTCGTAAGCATCGGTTCTCAGGCACCCGGATGTCACGACTCGTAGACGAGCGCGACACTTTGGGATGGTTTCTGATTGAGAGATGCCACGCTAACGTGCGGACATCTTCGTGTGACTTCTGTTTTCTTAGGAGAGAATTCACGTGGAAAATGGGACCCTCATCATCGCTACGCTGAACGCGTCAGATTCCGGTGTGTACCAGTGTGCTGCCGAAAACGAGTTCCAGATGATATACGCAAATGCGGAGTTGAGAGTCTTAGGTGAGTCATTCGTTCATAACCCAGAGTGTCAAAATGACGTGTTAGCGAGCTGTCGTTGAAGCCAGTTTTTCTCGTACGTTAGAAATTGCTTTCCCTCGAAGCAGTGGGAAAGGCCTAAATTAGCTTTTAGGAAATGCAAGATGATGACTATTACTCTGCTTGGGTAACTCATCCAGGTTCGTGGAGGAGCCCGCCATGGGGTGCCCCAAAGCGGAAGAGGCTCCCGCGGAGCTGACCCTGGCTGAGGTTTCGAATACAATTCGAAAGGTGCCCATCGGGAATGTTTTCAGCTGCAAATGAAAAGCTGAGAAAAGGAAATCTCGATTTATCGTGACTCGCCAAACGGGGATTTATTTTATCTCTTCATGGGAAGGTCAGAGGTGACGGCTGAGACATGGCACTTGGCCTGGACGATGCTGTGTTTGAAACGCTTCCCTCACGCCTGAAGCCTCGTGGTGCCAGGCTCGCTGCCGTAGCTACCAGATCGTGTCCCTACTCAAGGCAGAAGATGAGCGAGTGGACAGAACGGACCGCAGCTGCCCCTTTCGTTAGAAAAGCAAAATTCCCCTGAGTCCCTACAGCAAACTCCTTTTACGTCACTGACTAGCACCCACCATGTGACCTTTAGATGCCATCGTCCTTTCTAACCGTGATGATTCACTCGTTCAACAAACAGGCGTTGAGTATTTATGGGGGGTGTGGGGGGGCGGTGAGGAAAGAGGTAGACGTGACCCCTGTCCTTACAGGTCGTTGGGGCATGGCAAGTGATGGGGACGCCATACGTACATCACCGTTATGCTAATTACGTAATTCAAACGATAATAATTGCGATCGGAAATTATGAATCATTCCGAGAGCATGCGACTTGAGGTCGGCCTAGTGGCAAGAGTAGGGGGCAGGGCCGCTGGGCAGGGTCTCTTAGAAAGAGAGGCATTGCGTGGGAGACCTGAGTGACGGCAGACAGGCAGAGGGTGTGCAGGAGGACACAGCGGGTCCTGGAGCCCACAGAGCCAACGGCGCAGCACGAGCAGCACCTGTCGGCTTCGGACTTCGAAAGCATTAGCACGTGACCATTATTGTTATTGCTCACACCAGCACCAATGTCCATCCCTTAGCCTCAAACTCAGACCAGCAAGGTTTCGAAAATCTCCTTCACCTCATCAGGGTCATCAAGGGTTTGTTGCTGTTCGCTATTGGCTGTGGTTTGGAGTTATCCCAGTAGAGTTATAATTTCTCCTCGGTCTTACTTTACATTCTAGTTTCAAGACAATTCCACCAGGATTTCGAACAAAGAGGATACTTCATTTAACTCAATATTTAGGCTCTTACTCCATTTTTTTCCCCCTTGAGACCTCAGGGGTAGCTGGGAAAAATGATTCCGCAGAGTGGAAAATGTTCAGTTAGAGAAGATTGTGACTGACACTTTGGGATGGCCACCAGCGGTATTCGTCACAGGAAACGACTCATCGATAGCTTTCACCCCAGGGCTTACTCAGTGGTGGGAAGACGAGGTGGCGGGAGGGAGGAAGCATCAAACAGGAAGAAACCGCTCGGCGAGGTCGCCGCCAATGGCCCTGAGGCACGCGTCCGCGCCTTCCTCACCACTGCTTATTAAACACCTGTTGTGTCCTAAGCCCCCCACACATCATGGCAGATGCTAAAGAGAGCCTCACCTGCAGAGACACAGTGTCAACGAGGGGGTGATGAAAGCCACACTTTAAAATACTGTGATTATTACGGTCAGGAACTGAGTAGGTATCATCAGCCCCAGGGCCGAGTCGAGCATAACCAAGGCGAACGCGTTGTCCTCGAGCCGAGATCAGCAGACGGACGTGCACAGTGCAGGGGGACAGGGAAGCGGCACCCAGAAGCGGGGCGCGTGGCCCGCGGGCAGAGCTGCAGGCCCCCGGAGCCACTCCCGCGGGGAGCGTGCGTGACACGCGGGCTCAGACGCGCCCCGGACAGCCTCTCCCCGCACCTGGTGTTCGTGCAGCATCGGTTAGGGGGGACCGAGTTGAGACTGAGGAGACTTCATTGTTTTCTAAATTTCTACTCACCCTGAAGGCAGATTATTTACATATTTCTAGTTAAAGTCTCGCCTGAAACAATCTGACTTAGTGAAACAGTGTGCGTGATTTCTTTCAGCGGTGTTTCATTGCTATAGATGAATAGGCGATGATCGATAGATGACAGATATAAATATACAGAGAGATATAAAGATATCGGCTAGAATAGATTTAATGATTTCCATAATCGTTTATTGATTTCCATAATTCCAAATTTAACGGTTTCCGTGATTCCCGCTTCCGTCTCTATGAAACCATCTTCGCATCCTCTGTAAGAGCCCCTCGAGCCAAGGGCATGAGCGAGCGTCTGGGTGCCGGTGACAGAGTCCCTCCCGTACACCAAGTCACACGCTGGGTCACTGCTCGCTAACGATGTGGGCAAATCAACAGTTCTGTTTTGCTTTGTTTTGTTTTTAGCCTCAGCTCCCGATTTCTCCAAAAATCCCATTAAAAAGACCTCCGTGGTTCACGTCGGCGGGGACGTCACCATCGACTGCAAGCCGACCGCGTTCCCCAGGGCGGCCATCTCCTGGAAAAGAGGCACCAGCAGCCTGCGGCCAAGCAGAAGGTGACCAGATCTTTGCTTGTTTGTTCTAAGCGTCTGTGTCCTCCAAGCTCAGTGTTTGCTGGGTCTTCACAATCCTCTCCCGCACGGTAACCTTACAACTGCACATCCAGAGACACAGCCGTGTGACTATACTCATAAAAACAAAAAGCCTCATAGGGCTAAGGCCTGCCCGTATGATGTGGCCACGGCTCATGCGGGGCACATGCTTGTAACAGACTTTTTTAATCACTTAAGGCCTTTGCTAGATTCAGCTTGAAGAGTTTTTCCTGCCGTAGCTGAGAAATCGGTGAGACATAATTCATTACACAGGGTCAGAGACACACACACACTCCTGGTGTGGCTTTAAATAGTCACACAGGTGGCCCCTCACAACACATGGATTCGCTGCAGGAACAAGTGTGGACAGGTGCCGGTGGAGAAGGGGGCGGGCTTGTCCTCCACCACCCGCGGGTCGGGTCCTGGCCCAGCGCTGGCACGTCTCCTGGGAGAGTTTGCACATCAGAGCAGGGTCTTCCCTAAGGGTAATTTCATCCCTGCGTCCTGTGGGACCCTGTCCACCTAGCGATGTCCAGTCGGCAGCCACAGCTCTGCCGAGTGACCGCGGGCGCGACTGTGGCCAGCCACGCTGGACGGCTGCTGAGGGCGACCGCCGGGCTGGACGCAGAGGCGCTTCTGGAAGCGCGTCTGCAGCATCCCGTGCGTGGCGAGCTCAGGCAAACGCGCCGGCAGCTAACGCACGTGAATGAGGTGGGCGAAAGGGAGGACGCTGGCTGGGGTGAAAGCAGCCGCGTGTCGTGTCAGTCCTGGAAGACAGGACTCGGGGGCTGCAGGGTGGCTTCTGTCCTAAAAGACAGAGGGATCCAGGAGTTCTGTCGGGGGGGGGGGTTGTGGGAAGGCCGGCCACGTGCAGAACGTCAAACTCTCAGGAAAGCTGGAAATGGGGGGCCGGAGCGGACTATCACGCGGGAAAGAGCCCGCGGGCTGGGCGCGGGGACACATTCGTCTTTTCTGGGGCTGGCGTCTCATTAGTGGGCGGCGAGAGGGAAAAGGAGGTGACCGCGAACTCGCAGACGGGTCTGCACGGCTGCGCGGTGCTGAGCGGTGGCCCCGCGAGAGGCCCCCCTGTCCTTGCGCTCGCCCCCGCGGCCTTGAGGACCCTGCGCGGCTCTCGCCGTGATGGTGGGGGGCGGGGGTCTGTGGGGCTCCCCTCCGTGTGGCCCGGCCTGCGCCCTGAGCCCGCGCTCCGTAAATTCTGTGGGGGGAATGAATGTGCCCAAAACGGTGACGCCTATGTCGTTGCCCGCTTAGGCTGCTGCTCAGGACACACCTGCAGACGTGAGGACACAGTCTCCTCCCCTGGGGCGGGAAGGGACTCGGAGGGGGGCTGTGGCCCGGTCCACGTCCTGCCCTCCCTCTGCAAGGACCCCTGGGGGCTGCACTGCAGACCGGACAGGGCTGCACGCGGAGGCCTCTCCAGCGTCCCCTGTCACCGCGACAGCTCCCCAGGTGCGGATGCGCTGCCTTCATCTTACCACGTGCGGATGCGCCATCATGTCCCAGGTGCGGATGCGCCATCATGTCCCAGGTGCGGATGCGCCATCATCTCCCAGGTGCGGATGCGCCATCATCTCCCAGGTGCGCATGCGCCATCATCTCCCAGGTGCGCATGCGCCATCATCTCCCAGGTGCGGATGCGCCGTCTCCCTGCCCAGGTGCGACGCGCCGCG